GTGCCTGGTATGTAGAAAGCAACAAATAAAATTCTGATAAACTGAATTGAATGCCAGTGTCTTGGTAATTTTCTAAGGATATGGCAAAAACTTTCATTGTAAGTGACTGGGACTCTCAGTGGTGGATTCCACTGTCCTCCATCCCTGAAGATCATTGTTGTTGTTGTTGTTAGGTGCTGTCAGGTCAGTTCCAACTCAGCGACCCTATGTACTATAGAACAAAACACTGCTCGGTCCTGCACCATCCTCATAATTGTTGTTATGATCGAACTCATTGTTGCAGCCACTGTGTCAACGCATCTCATTGAGGATCTTCTTTTCCACTGACCCTCTACTTTACGAAGCATGATGTCCTTCTCCAGAGACTGATCCCTCCTGATAACATGTCCAAAGTATGTGAGATGTAGTCTCACCACCCTTGCTTCTAAGGAGCATTCTGGATGTACTTCTTCCAAGACAGATTTGTTCACTCTTCTGCCAGTCCGTGGTATATTCAATATTCTTCTCCAACACCATAGTTCAAAGGCATCAATTATTCTTCGGTCTTCCTTATTCATCGTTCAGTTTTCACATGCGTGAGGCGATTGAAAACACCATGGCTTGGGTCAGGCCCACCTTAGTCTTCAAGGTGACATCTTTGCTTTTTAACACTTTAAAGAGGTCTTTTGCAGCAGATTTGCCCAATGCAGTGTGTCTCTTGATTTCTTGACTGCTGCTTCCGTGGATCCAAGTAAAATGAAATCCTTGACAACTTTAATCTTTTCTCTGTTTATCATGATGTTGGATCATTGGGGATCCATATGAAGGTGACAGAAGGAATTTTGGAAAATACTGTAAAGTACTTCTGTTACCTTTGAAATATTTTTTGAGTTCCAAACTGTGAAGGCTTGATTCCCCTACAACATTTTTCCTGATTCCCTTTTTGGGGTTCAGGACCATATGTCTATTTCACCTGGTCAATTATTTGTGTCATTTCCTGGTTCCTGAGTTCCTTTCAGTTCCTTCAGTGGCTTACTGTCTTGTTAACATTATAAATGCCATACATACACAACTTTGTAAGAAACTGGAAGAAGACATCAAACCAAAAAAAAAAAAAAAGGTGCCATCAGTTGATTCCAACTTATGGTGACCTTATGTGAATCATAGTACAGCTGTGCTCCATAGGGTTTTCGGAAGTAGATCACCAGGCCTTTCTTCTAAGGGTGGACTCAAACTGCCAGCCTTTTGGTTAGCAGCTGAGTGCTAAACTGTTTTTGCCACCCAGGCACTGAAGAAGTCACCTCCAAAAAAGAAAACCAAACCCATTGCCATCGAGTCGATTCCAGCTCATAGCAACCCTATAGGACAGAATAGAACCACCCTGAAGGGTTTCCAAGGCTGTAATCTTTTTTTTTTTTTTTAATTGTACTTTAGATGAAGGTTTACAGAACAAATAGTTTCTCATTAAACAGTTAGTACACATATTGCCCTATGATGGTGGTTAACAGCCCCACGATATGTTAACTCTGTCTCTTCTCAACCTTGGGTTCCTATTTCCAACTTTCCTGTCCCCTCTTGCCTTCTAGCCTTGTCCCTGGACTGTTGTGCCCCATTAGTCTCGTTTTGTTTTATGGGGCTGTCTGATCTTTGACTGAATGGGGAACCTCATGAGTGACTTCATTACTGAGCTAAAAGGGTGTCCGGGGGTCATACTCTTGGAGTTTCTCCAGTCTGTCAGGCTGGAGTCTGGTCTTTTTTTGTGAGTTAGAATTTTGTTCTACATTTTTCTCCAGCTCTGTCCGGGACCCTCTGTTGTGACCCTGGTCAGAACAGTAGTGGTGGTAGCTGGGCACTGTCTAGTTGTACTGGACTCAGTCTGGTGGAGGCTGTGGTAGTTGTGGTCCGTTAGTCCTTTGGACTAATCTTTTCCTTGTATCTTGTTTTCTTCATTCTCCCTTACTACCAAAGGGGTGAGACCACTGGAGTGTCTTAGATGGCTCCAAGGCTGTAATCTTTATGGAAGCAGCCTTCCACATCTTTCTCCTACGGAACAGTTAGTGGGTTCCAACCACTGACCTTTTGGTTAGCAGCCAGGCCCTTAACCACTGCACCACCAGAGCTCCTGAAGAAGGTACAGATTCTCGGAAAAAAAGACATGTCCAGAAATTGGCTCTCATATATAAAAGGGGCTTGCTGTGTCCCTGGAATCCACCATGGCGCAGGCTCTCATGCAACTGGAGAAATCCACGCAAAAACCAGCTCTGCATGGGATGATGTAACACAGAGTAATGGAGTTGAAATTTTGTGCTAAGTAATGTTTTGAAATTAGGTGCCATGTTGCCAGTGTGTTTCTAAATTGACTTCGCTGGTAGCATTCCATAATGTTTCTGGTTTATGTCTTAACTGAGCTGGCTGGGAACACATTAAAGGTTACAGCTTCAAATTGTTATAATTTGCTGCTTCGTTCTGAAGTACTTTCATTACTATGCGGATTGTAACTTTTCTTTTAAATTACCTTTCTGAGTTGTCATTTCTCATAGATATAATATAGCCTAAGATCAAATTTGGTAAGCCCCTTTGAAGTTCAGGATTTAAACTAGTTAAAAATCTCTATGCCCTTCTTTTATATTCAAGATAATAAAGACCTTATTAATTTCAACTTCAAGAGGTCTTCAGAGATTTTAAGGGACTTTAGCAATAAATTTAGAAAACTATTTTTGTTAAAATATATAGTATTTTCATGAATAAAAACATGACACTTCTGAGATATTCCATAAGGGACCTAGTTTAGTCTAGTGCATGGCGTTTAGAGTCGTTTTCTCAACTACAGCCCTTACAAGAGTAGCTCATGTTTCGGCCTGCAGGGAAATCTGCTGCCTGTGTGCCCAGGGTGTATATACGCAGGGGTGCATTCCTTGGCTGGTGTCCAAGGCCCACACATCTGTGAGAGGATGTTCTGCTCCTTCTTTCAGGCAACCTGCCTTAGACACGCCTGGCGACTAGGTCTGTTAGGCAGTGGTTTCCAAACCTGTCAGAGCTAAACGAATCACCTTAGTAGCTTAAAGAAAACTCATATTAAAAGACTCTACCCATAGAGATGCTGGGAGCCCTGCTGGCACAGTGGTTAAGAGCTCGGCTGCTAACCAAAAGGTTGGCAGTTGGAATCCACCAGCTGCTCCTTGGAAACCCTATGGTGCAGTTCTATTCTATCCTATAGGATCGCTATGGATCAGAATTGACTCAACAGCAACAGGTTTTTTGGTTTTATAGAGAAGTTGAACCAGTAGATGAAGTGGATGTGACTTTGGGACACCTCTTTCTGGCCCCTTTCCTGCCCTTCCTACAATTTGGTGACCACAACACACTAGTCCACACATGATGCACAGCACAAGGAGCAACACAACAGCATCAGAACAACTAGACAGACTGAGAGAAGAAAGAGGTCACTCAGAAACCACAGCCACAGCTGGAGGCTGAATTAGACTTTTAAGAATACCTTCTTCTCCTGTTATGTTACACAGACTACAAAGCCAGTGTCTGCCCTAAAATATTCTCCTTTTCCCCCTCATCTGTCACGTGACCCTGTATGTGTCCGTTGTGTGTGTATTTTGGGAGGATTTGCAATCTCTTTTTTCAGTTCCTTATCCTAGCCAGTTAAATAGTAAATGAGAGAGAGAAGTATAGACAAAGACAGAGATATGGACACTTCTGGAAAAGTGTAAGGGGATGGAAAAGTAGACATTTAGGAGGAAGCAAGAGAAGAAAAACCCTTGAAGAGTATATGTGAAGCAATTCCTGGTGAATGGAAAGTCTTAGGATTTTTTTTTCTTAGATTTTCTGAAGATTCCCTAACTACACTAGCACATTTGTATCTCAGTTTCACGAAGTGAATGGCTTTATTTATAAAGACTGATAGCATCATTAAAAAGTCCGTAGCATTATAGGGAATCTATGTTGTTCATCATAAAGTAAGTCAAAGAAGGCATGAAAAATTGAGTACATTCATTCAACAAATATTTAGGATGCTACCTTCATTGAGTTAACAGCCTGATGGGGATACAGATAAATAATCAGGCAGTGACAGCGCTGAGTACCAGGTGCTTGATAGGGGAGGAACAGAAGAAGGGGAGGAGAGAGAAGAGTGCTTCACATGGGCTTACTGCTCCCTGCTCTCACCACTTGGGAGTCTCTTCTGAGACCCAGTAGATAAAGAAGACCACTTCTTCAGCATGGCTGACCTTATTTTTGATCTTTATATCTTGTCTAATTGGAGAGAATTTTCAGTTCCTAAGTGGACTTTAATAGAGAATGTCCCCAGAGTTGTCAGTGTACAGCACTATAGAGATTTCCCAATAACATGCAGTTGTAAAATGGTAGTTTTCTTCACAGTCTATTTACATTGTTTCTGTGTTCCCAGTTTACTGTCTTCCCATCCTTTATTTTTCTCTCTTCTCTCTTTCACTTATCACCAGTCATCAGGATTCTCCCTTTAGCTGGCCATAAATACTTATTTTAATACTTATTGCACTTATGAAATAAAGTTTTATATTTCTTGTTTATAATTTTAAAAGTAAATGAAACATTTAAATTATCTTTTTCTATTGAAAAAAACTTACTGGAAATGCTTTTTATTCATGTGAGCCTAAATTCCTTTTGTTATGTTTCGAGTAGGGGGATTGGTGTGTTTATTTGATTTGATTTTGTCCTGTTTGGTCAACAACTTTAATGGAAAGTATGCTTTCTGTTGCTAAGGTAAGTCTACTTAGAATGGTTGGTTACCAACAAAAGTTCAGTCCTAATCAAAATATAAGTTTCTTGTGTAGCTCTACCTAATGAGGTATGTGAATGTTACATAATTTGCTGGTGTTTGTACTATCATTAGCCAAATGTTAATTTTAGAAGAAAAGTTTCTGAAGCTTTTAGTGGTAACCTTCATAACCTGACAGTCTGATTTTTTTCCTTTCGAAGAGATGTTCTTGTTCCTTCCTTTACATCATGGCCTTTGATATTTTCTATTCCAGTTTTCCAGAGAGATGGTCATTCAGAGCCTATGCGTCTGTTCTGTACTTTGACCCTCGGATGAGAATATTCATTCAGGCCAAAAGAGTTAAAACAAAACACCTATGTCATTGCCTCTACAGACCCAGGTAACTCGCCTTCTATCCAGGGGTAGGTTAACTAGTAATCAAGGTATGCATGGGCAGCAAGGTGTGCACAGGCTTACTTGTGTTTGCTTTGATGTTGTGAAATTGTGCGCTACAGATTAGAAAGTAAGCAGAAGTAAGCCCATGTGTACCTTGCTTATTGGATAATCTGTTCCTGCTTTTGTCAATTATCTTCATAGAGTTTTTTATATATAAAACTGATATGACCCCTAAAATTGTCAAGGTGAGTGAGGACATTGACTTTGATAGTAAGATTTTTATGTTGTAAACAAAATTCAAACTGCATTCAGGAAGGTTTTCTAAAGAGGAATCATGTGTGACAAATATTTGGTAGAAATAGCAGCACACTGCAGTGAATACACTAAGTTAGATAATCATCCAAAGTAGAAATTTGTTTTCTACTTGAGTGACTTTCAGGTGCTTTGATGGTGATAGGTTCTATTAAAAGGTCAGAGTTCACATTCATCTTCTGTTTTCGTAATATATTTGAACTGTTAAACCATATACCTATATGTGCATGGCCATTGTATGCATAGAGTGAATGTATTTATAAATACACATATAGTTCATTTCTGTTTTATTTTATATTACGGCATAAACTTTTTTAAGTTTGCATTTGCTTATTATAAAACCTGTCTTGCTCAACTATGCCTGCAGTCAGAACAGTCATTCATGTTATGGTTTCTAGGTGATCATTCATTCATCAAACATTTGTCAAAATCTTCTGTGAGTCTGAGATTGTGCTAGGTACACAGCATAAAAAAATAAGATTAGTTCCAGTTTTGAGTAACTTAATATCTACTGAGAAAAACTTTTAATGTCTTACAATGTCTGTAAATGTGTATTTTCACACATTATTTCATTTAATTTTTGCAGTGACCCTGTGGTTAGGTTTTATTATCACCATGTAAATATAAGTGAATGTCAAAACTGGATAAGAACTTAAATCTTCTGGTTTTAAATTCTTTACCACTCCACATTCCATGCCCTATCTCCTGTACCACCAACTCTTGATAATAGGCCCTCATTTGTCACATTTTCTTATTTTCATGAAAAAGTGGTTGCTGTCCTGCAGCTTTGTAATCAATCCCTCCTATAGAAATTAATATTAAAAATTATAGATATCTGTATCTTACACCCTGACTGTACACCAATGAATTGCTCAAAAGTTTATTTTTGATTTCTTATGCTAGAGATCATTTGTTGAAAATAAATTATACCAAGTCTAAGACTTTCTCTACAAATCTGTGTATTCATTCCCTAATGAATATCAAAGTGATGTTTTCTTTTCATCAGTCTTATTCTTCTTGGAAGTGCCAAGAGTCTCCTGGATCAATCAATAAAGCTGATCTTTGTGAATTAAATTATTCTTTCCTTAGTGAGTTTGAGTAAAAAGTGGTTTAAACCAATAGAAAATGTGGATTTGTCTCTGTTTTCTGAGAGGAATTAATAGTAAATTGAATTCCATCCATGTAAATCACTTACATCAAATGATAGCTGTTGCCTACTCTACTATATTTTTTATTCACTTGCCAAAGTAATATAATGTACGTATATGTTTTGTTCCCAGAAAAAAATTGAAGAAGGCTTGAATCTTGTCAAGTTTCACCTGGGACTCTGATAAGCTCTCTTAAATCTGCTATTTGGTATTTACATATGGACAGATTTATTCTGTGGCAGTATAGCTTAGGGCTTGTCTCGCTCTCCATTTGCCATATTTACTTGCATTTAATTTCCCTAATGTGTTTTATGGTGGCCAAAATTTTCTATAAGATATATGTGGAGTTTCTGTGTTATCCCACTTCTAGTAGACTACTTTTTTCTTTTTTTCTTACCAAAAGGTGCTATAGTCTATTGGCTGCATCAGAACAGAATAAGAGTTGGGAATGACCCCATCTGGTCAGAGTAGAGATGTTTAAACGATATTTAAAAAGTGATTAAATACTCTTGGCCACCAGACTGCAGTAAACTTTTAGAAGTGATATGTGAAACTAAGGTACCATAACAGGACTCTGTAACTCTGAAGTTTTATTTATAGAAATGTGTGAGTATAGTTCCTCATCAGTTATTTTTCTGTACTTTTGTAGCAGACAAAAAAATGAAGACTGGATTTTCATCCATGTGAGTGGATTTATAATTGCTTTAGCAACTTGACACAAATGTCTCTAACATATTCAGAGAAGGGCTAGAGAGAAATTTTTGGTGATATGTCATTGATTTTCTTCCTTGATCATGTTCTGTTCAGTATTTTTATCAGTAACTTGGATGAAAACAACAACAAACAGATATGTATGCTTACTGAATTCTTTGTTGACCCTGAGCTAAGAGAAATATTTCATACCTGGCATTATAGAAACAAGATGTGAAAAAGTTGAAGTCCAAAAGATAAATGTAATATAGATAAGCTATAGACCTGCATTTAGATTACAAAATCTGTTGTGTAAGTATAGACTTGACAGTGATTTACATGAAAAAAATGCATAGATGTTTTAATTGACCAGAAGCTTAGTATAAGGTGATAGTGTGAGAGGATTGCTAAAAACTTTTTTGGAACGTAGTGAGCAAAACGAGATGATGGTAGTACCAGTAAACGTTACCTTGCTGCACCATGTCTGGAGGGAGATGCCCAAATACGGATGCTTTAGGAGGGACGTGAACTTACTAGAAAGTGTCTCGCTTCCAGGACAGTAACTATTCTAGCAAGGAGTCATTCTGTGGAGGCGAAAAAACCTAGGAGCTGAGTGAAGGCGTTAAAAGCTGTTGTGTGAAAATTGGAATTCCAAAAGGCAGAACTTGGATGGCTGGGTAGAAGAAGAAGATAGAGCTTGCTCAGATGAGAGTATTGGGCTGTTTTTGCCAGGGAGAGACCCACAGATGAACTTTGTTGATTGGAGTTTAGTGTAACAATATTCAGAAAGTGTACATAGCAGGAAGCCATCCCAGCAGCCTAACCATCACCTTTGACTCCATGTGTTTCTGTGGACTGGGATGTTCTGGAACTGAAGCAGCTTAGTGTTGCTTAAGATATTGCTCTGCTGAGTGATCTTTGCTAGGTGTACCTAGCATTTGCTCACCTAAGACTAGCTTTTGTCAAGCATGAAGCTTCCCTATTGGGCAGAATTCAGGGACAAGCCACTTCAGAGGGGTTTGGTCATCTACATAGCATCCTTTGTTTGGACACCAGTCACTGGTCCAGTTATCAGATACTAAATCCAGGTGTCCAGAATAGAAGATTTAGTTTCTCCAGATACACATGGCATAGGATATAGCAGCTCAGAGAAGCCTGTGCATGTGGCAGGGGATTAATGAAGTGTCCACAGTTACTCATGCTCTCTTGCAGTGGAAAAGACTCCCACCTAAGATGAGGACAAATCTGTCTCTGGAAGATTCTGGATTGTAGAAGGCATTATTACTTTGGGAAGAATTTCAAAGATTTAAAGATCTCTTGGAGTCTTAAGTATTATTTATATAACACAGACAAGTTGTGTATGGCTATATTATTTGATCTTAGGAAACAAACTACTTACTTTCTTTGACTTTGATTTCTTTAGCTATAGTATAAAACTAACTCTCAGATTATACAGGCTTTAAATATCTGCATATTAGGACTAAAGAAGAGAGTAAAATGGTCATTTATGAAGGCTCTCTAAGGGTGATGGAGCAAAAGTGCCATTTTAATAAACTCCATTCTTCATTAGCACTGCTTTTCTGCAGACCCATACCATTGAAAAGAGCACAAATGAGGTGGAATTGGAGTCACCCTGCTTTCATAGGAACATCTGCTCCTTTTTCAGTTATTCAGAGACACTAGCTTTAAGGTCTACTGTTGAGTACACTGCAGCACTATGCTTCTGGGACAGTCTTCTCATTTATTAGGGCTGCTCCCACCCTCTTGTTCCCCATCCACCTAGATAGATTAACAATTTCTGAAAAGTGTCTCTTTTGTAAACTCTACAAATTATTTATACATTCATGAATTTTCATAATTTTAAATTATTTAATCTTTCAATATAGGATAATGGTTGAGAGCAAAATTTGGATCAGCGGAACCTGGATTCGAGTTTGAGTTTGTCATTTGCTGGTTGTGGACCTTTGGCCTTTACTTAAGCCTTCCTCTTCTCCCTGTGACTTGGGAATCGCCCTGCCCCTTAGGCTGCTTGTGAGGATTAAATAAACAGAACACTGCTCAGAACAGTTCCTGACATGTCTGTAAACAAACAGTAATCGCTATTATACAAATGAATAATACCTGGATAGAATGACCACTATGCGTGAGACAGGATTCTAAGCTTTAGGGAGTCAGCACAGGCAACAACAACAAAAAAAATTCCTGCCCTCATGGAGCTTACATTCCAGTGGCGGGAAGGACAATAAGTAACTAAAAATAGTACAATAGCAGGTAATTCTAAGTGCTCTGAAAAAATAGGTAGGGCAGGGAATAGAGAGTTATGAGGGTTGGGTGGCTATTTTAGATAGGAAATCAAGGAAGGCCTTTCTAAGCAAGCAACTTTTGAGCAGGGAACTGAATAAACTGAGGGACTGAATGTATTAGTTAGCTGTTGCTATATAACAAATCACCCCAAAATGTAGTGGCTTAATGTAATAGTAGCCATTTACTGTCTCTCATAGTTTCTGTGGGTCAGTAGTTTGAGAGCGGCTCTGTTGTGTGGTTTTGGGTTGGGATCTCTCCTGAATTGCTGAGATGTTGGCTGGGGCTGCTGCAGCTTTGATTGGAGCTGGAGGATCCACTTTCAGGGTGACTGTTCACATGGCTGGCAAGTTAGCTCCTTTTCACCATAGCCACTGCACAGGGCTGCCTGAGTATTTCCGTTGTGTAGAAGCTGACTTCTGCTAGTAGAAACTGCCGTCTTTTAGGACACAGGTGACAACCATCATTTCTGCTATATTCTCAAGTTCACATAAGCTAACCTGGATTCAGAGTAGAAGGGCATTACAAAAAGGCATGAAAGCCAGGAGTTCAG